AGCACAGAGCTTTCTTCTGTTCTAAACAATGGCGTAGGTATATTAGGAAATAAGGATAGGATGGATAAATATCATTAAAATCTTCATTCTTAAAGCGACATCTAATGTTTTATCCGCTTTCATTTTCATCTCTAAATAAGCCGAAAAGGTCTTCATGAGCATTAAGCCGATAACACCTCAAAACCTTGGATCTTTCCAAAATATCAATGAAGCACACAGAACCACCCTCGCACGCAATCATTACTTCACTTATTACCTGCCGAATCTCAGTTCAGAGAAGCCCGATTCAAAGGAGGTAAAGTTCAAGTCGTCTCCTGAAGTTGTGTACTACGATAAGCAAAGTCCGGAAGATGCTCTGGCGTGCCACCCTGATGACAAACTGATCCTGTCGGAGGATCTCAGCACTGCTGAGAGTGAACTTGACGAGGACGCTAAGGCCCTTTACCACAAAGTTCTCTCCAGTATGTTGTTTTTAAGTCATTTCATTATTGGTATTATGTACATGGTATCGGTATTATGTACAGTGATTATAAACATATACTAGCTGGTCGTTTTGATTCCATGTACCGGTAAAATATACCAGCTACTGTTCACCTAATTTAGTATTTTTTGTTTACAACTTAAACCATTTCAGCTGCACATAGCGAAGAAGGACCCAAGTCACCTAAACTCCGATCCACTCCAGACAGGGAATCCACTCCAGACATGGCACCTACCCCAGAGGATTTGGTAAATGAACAGCTATCAGAACTTGCCAGGGAACTAACAGATTCTGTCATCAAAAACGCTGCAGCAACACCAAAGGAACAGGTGACCTTTAGAATTATAATGAAGTTTTAAAATCATGCTATAATCTTATAATAATGGAGTGGAGGATATTTAGCAGGGTCTAGACAGGTTCTATTCTGAGATACCAGAAAAGGTAAAAGTTTAATTTAAGCTGATCCGAGTAAATCCAATTGAATCAAAAATAAAGTTGTTAAGTTGAAAAATTCTTTCGAGTGGTTTCAACTCTCAAACTACGAAATTTAAGATTTTCCATAAAAGTAACTTTTCTTATCTCCAGGAAACAGAAGTGGTAGAAGTTGACAATAGTGACAGTGAAATTGCTAAAACAGCAAAGATTCTCACAGAGACAGCACTCTCAAATGCCTCCTCGCCAGTCTAGAAGTTACTTTTCATTTACGGAGAGCAGCCTTTTATTGATGACTAAATCTGAACTGTTGTGAACAGAAGACGATTAAAATCATAATCCAAGCTATAGTTTAGCTTCAGTGAATTATGGTGAATTAAACACCACCCATTAGCGTAGCAGCAACGTAGCTTGAGCAACCCAAGCAATTAAAAACATGTCAGCTTATACACCTAAAATATCTAGAGGATTGTTTTTTTGTGGATATCTTGTTTAAAAGTGTTGAACTGATATCTAATGGAAAAGGTGTTTCTCCTTTTAAGAATAATAAAAGTTTGATATTTCTGTTATTCGTGCTGATTGTATGGGACCAGAACCCTTCTCGTAATTATAAGATTGCACAGTGACACCAATGAGAAGTATTTAATTCCGAGACGATATCGAGATTGGATATATTTGGTATAATATGATGATTTTCTTGGCTTTGAAAATCACTACTGTGTGATTGTTAATTTTGGCAATATGTTTATTTGCCAGCAAAACATATTTGATCTGAAACACATATTTGATCAGAAAACAATTAATTACAAATACATACATATTTGTGAATAATGAAACTGTAAAATAAATGATATATCATCGCCCATTTTAACTTATGCAAAACTAACGAGTTTGAAAAAAAAAATGTATTATTTTATGAACTGACGAAGACTTCACTCTTTAAGCGATGTAAGGGGCTAAGCCCTAAGGCTCTTACTGTAAGGCTCTTAAACTTCACTCACTCAAATTAAGTGTCATATCACTCATATTTGAGAAATCAAAACGTCCTCATTTCATATCTTGGTAAAATTCTGTTAATATGCCTTGTGGTGCTTTGGTGAGAACTCTTCCCAATAAAACCACAATCTCTCCAATAGAAAGCGTCACCCGTGCGTCAATCTAAAGCAGACAAACTTGTGACGTCACAAACATTCCAGACAATAAGAGTCACCACTTGAGCTACACGTTAGTGAGCTTACAAAACCGCCTAACCATCCCTCTCTTGGTAAATAATTATGAAATAAGGCAGAGTTATCTGTTTCAAAATGACGCACGCGATATAACCCCTCGGCAGGATAGAGTATTTGAGCGAGGAAGAAGCTGAAGTGTCACTTAAGACCAGTGACGAAGGTGCAATAAGTTAAATATGCATTCATTTTGATTTAGATTGCAGTATAATTATGGAGAGTGAGACTTTGGGATGAGTATCGTTTAATATATCCTTTAAAAGATTTACAGTTTACTTTCCCAAAATATGTCAGCGGAAGATTTAAAAAGATCACTATACTTAAGGGGGGGGGGGGGTTCACCCTGATTTTTTTGTGAAACTTGGTTTCGAGATAGCAGTTGACCAACAAACTAGGACCAGTGACCAAACTTTTGAGGGGGTCCCGGACCCTAACCGCCAAACGGTGCCCGCGGGGCAGCCACGCCCATATTTGGTCCAAATTAGGCCCAATTTAGCCAAATACCCTGAACATGCCCAAAATCCAGATTTTAGGTGCTCTACTTGTAGCTAGTGGTTTCCTGAACTCGTATATGAATTTTCATCAAGATTGGACAAAAAATGAATGAGTTATGAGCAAAAAACCATATGACCATATTTGGGCATACGCACCAAATTTGATCGATTTTGGCCCATAAATTGGTCAAATATCAATATTTTTGAATAAAACCAACTTTATATGAAAGGTAAGCCTATACTACACATTATCTATGATTATCAGCTCTGTATCTACCTAACTGTGGATTCTGTGTTCAAATAATCGCAAAAAATGAACAAAATTGCCCATATCTCAGTTCGCGATATTTGCAAAACTGACTTCGCTCAAAACAATAGAACTCAATAGGGTTTCAATATTTTTTCATGAAATTTTCAGTATCAACGTAGAATTGTCTCATGACCTTAAGTTTTGGGACAGAATTTTGAGTTAGGCCTTTAAAAAAATTTGGCGGCCAAATTCTAAATTTAGCAGTGCAAATTTTGGAATTTGGCCGCCAAATTTTTTTAAAGGCCTAACTCAAAATTCTGTCCCAAAACTTAAGGTCATGAGACAATTCTACGTTGATTCTGAAAATTTCATGAAAAAATATTGAAACCCTATTGAGTTCTATTGTTTTGAGCGAAGTCAGTTTTGCAAATATCGCGAACTGAGATATGGGCAATTTTGTTCATTTTTTGCGATTATTTGAATACAGAATCCACTGTTAGGTAGATACAGAGCTGATAATCATAGATAATGTGTAGTATAGGCTTACCTTCCATATAAAGTTGGTTTTATTCAAAAATATTGATATTTGACCAATTTATGGGCCAAAATCGATCAAATTTGGTGCGTATGCCCAAATATGGTCATATGGTTTTTTGCTCATAACTCATTCATTTTTTGTCCAATCAAAAAATGAATGAGTCGCCGCTTATATCACCACCCTTCCACTTGACTGCTCCAGAAGTCATGGCTAACTTCATACTGGCACTGACATCCGACAGGCTGCAAGTAAGGGTTGCAGCAATGCCGTCGCTTGCTATAGTCGGTCCAGATGCAGTGACACCTGAAAAGAATTAAAGTTAGACTGGCGGTCATTACAGCGGTCATTACAACGGTCATTATATTTATACGGGTCCGGGACTTTACGGCGTAAGACTCTACGGCGTGACCCCCCAGTTCCATAGCGGATATTATGCCAAATTATTAGACGGAGATCGTCTACTGATTTTTCTCCGGATATTTCCCCGGTTTGCAGTTCCATAACCTTATCCGGAGACCATCTACCTTACAAGACTTTTTTGTGGCGGACCAATTTGCGACGACCGAAATTTTGGCGGTCCGAAAATATGGCGAAATTGAACAAAAACCGTCAAATTTCGGACGTCACAGAAAATAAGGGTATTTTTTATCATTTTTGTGACAGTAAGCAGTAAGGAAATTTCTGAAATTCGGTAAAATCATGTTCAAACTTAGTCTGTATTAAGACTGTAAGACTTTCATGTTAGCACATACATGTATTTTAATGCAAATTTAAACTGTATTGCTTGACATTCAATTCGTCATTGGTGTGGTAATAATTTGTCCCAAGATGCCAGAATTTATTTATTTATTTTACTTGATATTACTTTTTAGAAACAAAATAAAGCAGTGAAGGCACAGTCATTGAAATAAGCTAAAAGATAATGCGACGGATTCTATTACGACGACCGAAATTTTGGCGGTCCGAAAATATGGCGAAATTTTCGGAAAACCGCCACATTTCGTACGTTATAAATATGTCTTGTAAGGTACTAGGGGGTGCACGATATAAATAAACTTGCTCGGATTTTAAAATTTTTTGTACCATTGTTTTCTAGAGACTGTGAGAATTTTCACAGTACTAAATTTGTTATACCTTTTCGGAAAGACAGCTAATTTGGCCCAATTTATGGGCCAAAATCGATCAAATTTGGTGCGTATGCCCAAATATGGTCATATGGTTTTTTGCTCATAACTCATTCATTTTTTGTCCAATCTTGATGAAAATTCATATACGAGTTCAGGGAACCACTAGCTACAAGTAGAGCACCTAAAATCTGGATTTTGGGCATGTTCAGGGTATTTGGCTAAATTGGGCCTAATTTGGACCAAATATGGGCGTGGCTGCCCCGCGGGCACCGTTTCGCGGTTAGGGTCCGGGACCCCCTCAAAAGTTCGGTCACTGGTCCTAGTTTGTTGGTCAACTGCTATCTCGAAACCAAGTTTCACAAAAAAATCAGGGTGAACCCCCCCCCCCCCCCCTTAATGGTTCAAGTTCTAATTTCAAAGCTTTAGGCATCAGACGAATTAAGACCAGGAACTAAATTTAATAATAATCATTCTAATCTGGAATTTTAGCTCGAAATTCATTGAGAGTCAAGTACGACTGCAGTTTTTAATAATTATAATAGTTTAATATCCAGCTATAATAATCAAAAATATGTATAGTTTCGAAATTACCTTAAAAGTGTATCATGATTTACCCGAAAAACCACAAAAAACATAATATGATCATTTAACACAACTGAAACAAAACACTCATTAAAATCCTAGTTTGGTTGTATATTATAGTTGCAAACTAGACAGTATGCGGTGGCATCGGACTTGTTTTGTTGTCCGGCTGCAAAACTTTGCACAATTTCTCAGACAGTTTCCGCCCGGAGTTGGTCTTTAGTTCGAGGTCTGTGGTTGAAGTGGGAGCGGTTGACACCTCTGTTACCGAGAATTCTACTCTACCATCTCGTTCCGCCTGAGTTGAGTGGTAGTGATTAGGGGTGATCACTGCACTGTGACTGTGCACATTCTGCTTTTTTTTCTACGAGCCAGTGCTATTTTTAGAAATTCTGAGCGGTTTCGGTTTAGAGAGAACGGAGCTATTCAGTAAGGGACGTTTGTTTGAAAAATATTGATGTGTCGACTGCAGTCCAATTTTATATATTTAACTTACCTCGTATTTCCAATAGGAATGCTGTTCCCGCTCAGCTTTGGGTCTAACATAATAATCCCACGTTGTCCAGCCGTGCCAAATAAGATAAAGATGAAGTCTGCAGAGATTTGAGACCAGATGAAGGCAATAACAGCTAGCACTAAAAAGATGACTAGAAGCGATATTATTGTAGCACTGGAGACTTTGTAACCAAATATCGTAGGATGGTCACGACCTGAGAATTTCTGAGTTTATTGTAGATCTTAGCTGATCATTATTTCTACGTTGTCAGATAATATTATGTCGGATCTGAACTAAAGACAAAGTTTTAGTTTTACAAATTTTAGTTTGCACATGTGTTACACAGTATGTGACCGGCTAACCATTAAATTCATAAATTGTAGGTTCGCGCGCGCGCGTCTTGTTACACTGCGAAGCGATAGTGAAAACTTTAATATTAATAATTATTTTCGCGTGTTCCAAAAAGTATCCAATTCTTGTTGCTACGGTTCGTTGCCACTCAAAACATTACTATAATGATCTCTGCAGCTGCAGCAGTGTAAGGGTTCTTCAAAGGTTTCGTTTTATTTGTTAATTTCGTTACTTGATTTAACCTGGTAATACGATAATGAAGATGCCTTCATGAGGATTTTTGGCTGTGTGAACAAGTTAGGCAATGGTCTACATACTCAATATATCGTGTGCAGGAGATCGAATTAGAATTGTATTTGTAAATGACTTTTAATTCTTTTTTAATGAATTTGATCCATTTGTGCATAGTTTATATCATTTTTAATAAATATTAAAATATTCATTGTTTACAGTCTATATCATGATCGCTATTAGCTTCTTTGACATTAGTTTCAATATCAACTGTAATCGAAAATCGATTAAATTCAAATTTTAAATTGAATTGCTTTGGCATCAGCAATTTTAATTTGTAATATATATTTTCGACATAAACGGAAGATAAATACCCCTATTTAATTCTTGAGTCCTAAAATAGTTGAAGCAAAATGCTTCAGAGGGCGAAAAAGAAATCTGATTTTTATGTCAAAGGTGACTAACGAGTCGGTGGGAATCTCAAATTTGATGATTGAACGCAATATTCATACATATTAATAACTTTATAGCTTAATAACTTTATAGCTTTAATGTGACTATAACTTCAAAATCAACCATTGCACTGACATTAAAGAATTAGACATCTTGTCAAGTTGTTTGAGAAAACCCTAAATCAATTTGTCACAATCAGCTCCCTGAACGTTAAAATATTCAATATTTATTTTACCTAGAATTTTGAAGAACTGCGTCTCCATGAAGCAGAAGTGGTAAATGATGTAGAGAATATTGGTGAAAACTATGAGACTGTAGATTGAGGCAGACATCAGTAAGGTTATGTAGTACCTGAGAGAAGTGTTTGTTACGGTTGGGAAACTTTTGCCTGATCCAGCAACAGATGCTCCGACTGTAATTCTTAATATTATAATATCATAATGGTTAGTTGGCATCCTGTACCGGTTGCAATCAATTATCAAATCAGACGAGGTCGTATTACACCAAACTAATCTTATAGGCGGAAGAATGTCTAGGCTGGTAGGTTAAACCCTCTAACAATGATCACTGTCTGGTTTGACACCCATTCTATTGAAGAGCTAACACCTATGAGGTTGCTATAATGCAAGGATTGAGCACAGAACAATACCACGTCTTGCGCTACTTTGAGAAAAAGTACTCTTTATCAACACCCCTCCATGGCGACCCTAAAACTAAAACAGATGCTCGGATTGGACTCGCGCCAGGATATACTCCCGGTCTGGCTAAGTTACAGCGGTAACGGCTGGCACAGCAAATCAGAAAATTACAGTACAGTAATAATCATGGCACCCAGAGGAGGCGTATCGTGTTGGTGCTATCATTTATTTGAGAATTTCTAGCCAAGTAAGCGTCCCACGCAGACATTCATCACAGCATATTGCTCATCACGTGTACCAGATGGAGATGTTAAAAATAATGAAATGAATGAAACACGTGCCGCGCAGGATATACCGGAGAGCACCAGGTAGTGAGCACCAGTTAAGGTTATTGAGCTGGTCTATTTGATTTATAAGAGACCCTCTGGAGGGAGCATCTGTATTCTTTACCCAGTCTCTAATCAAAAAGTAAGATCTCGCTTGTAACAGACAAGAACCAACACAAATTGAGGTACAGTTCTAGTTGGCTAGGACATTTATTATTACATGGTGCATTATTGAACACTAATAAATCTGGGCATATATTTAAAACTCTATTTTTTCCGTTGAAACATCAGGTAATTTATAAAAAGTATATCCGGGACTGATTTCAACTGATCACCCTTAATCGTTAATCTAATAAATCTAACACGGACGAGATGATGAAGTTTACCGGAAGATAACCTTTCCTAGCAACGCAGGCAACGATTTTCTAAATCAAATTATCTTCTTATCTCTTTATGAAATCATCAAAAAATTAACTCGGTTTGAGTTTAGGAATTTAACCAGCTTCAATTCCTTTGGTTGGGTTAACATTCCTCTGTTGCTTCTTCAAGTTTCCTTTGATACATCTAAATTGTTTATCATTTTCTAAAACTTTTATATTTACCACGTTTTAAACTCCTACTTTTACCATCATTGTATATTGTATATTCTATTTTTAATGTGTAAATTATGCTATGCTATGATAACATCACGGTTTATACAGATTTTTTATCTAGTCAAATTAAACACTACATAATATATTCTATGTTTGTACAGATTTGAAGTTGTCAGTTTACCACTAACAATTTATCACTACTAGGATGAAGCTAGTGATACTGTTAGCGTGTTTACTCCAGTTAGGAGCTACCTGCTCCTGCTACATGGGAAGTAACCCGTATGACCGTGATCCAAAAGAGAGCATCATCGAAGTGCGGATACAAAAAGTCTTGCACTCAAAACCCGCTAAGAAGAAACCTCTGGGACGAAATAGAGTATGGGAAAACCCAGGAGCTCTGTACTCACAAAAAGCGGCAGCTGTTGCTGTAGTTACGAAAGTACACCGGGACGCTGGAAGGGACTACGTCATTGGTGACGAGGTGAATGTGAAAAGTAGTATGAGTGATGCTATGTGTGGGGTCGGAGGCTGGCTGACACCAGGCAGAGTCATCGTCTTTGGAACCCACAACAAGAAGACGAAGAAACTGATGCTTTGTGAATTTCTGGATTTCAATTATGAGCGTATGTCTGCTGGTGAATAAGGTGATATCAAAAAGGGGAAAAGAGATGGAGACAACTGAAGGAACAAAGTCAGCGACAATTAAACACTAAAACAGAAGCTATGATCAGAGGCTTATTCAATGGGAAGAATAGTTTGCTATCTTAATCTACATATCCATCATATTGATATAAACGTTATTGGTTTTACTTATTTACAAGCTCGTAAAGATATGAGACTTTTTTAATTATTTGAAATATTATAGAGGCAAGTGGTCAAGTAAGAGCCATATGATGGTAATATTGTAACTATAAACTTATAACCTTTAGTTTCTCTTGTCGCTAATATGTCCATCGTGTTGGTTCAGGGATAACATATCGTAGTTATCAGTATTGCTATTTTCATTAATAATGTAGATGTTTCATTCCAGAGGTACTCGATCGGTATAGGAAGGCTCTTCAACAATTCATTTCTATCACCGCAAAATAATAGATCGCATGCAACTGATGATATAGTCATACATAATTCCACATTACTCTCAACGCTCTACCCTAACATACTATTATTAATTAATTAATTAATCACGTTGACATGTTGGCTAACTTACTTGTAGTTCCGACGACCCACACAGTTGTTAATGTAATCACAGTGGTGGTCAAACCTCAGAATACACTTCTGGCACTGTGAACAGTGTCTGCTGGACACGTCTCTGAAAGATGAGTTAGTGGTCACCTCTCATATCCTCATATCTTACTTGAATTACTGTGAAGTACAATCTTCTTCAATTTTCAACAATCTTCTACAATTTTTCAGAATATACTGACAAAATATGTTGCTCTCAATCAACACTTATATCAACACTCATATCATGAATATTATATTATATAATAATATAATAATACGGTCGATAACGATAAAGGTTACATCATAATTTTCAATTCTCATATTCAGTATTCGTGCGTATATTAAATAAAATTATATTGTTATGTATCATATGATTTTGTGAACATTGGCCGGTGTACCAAAAACCGGTCCCCAAACAAACGGTCGTCACACAATTAAATGTTGACTAACACTGTTGTGGTACAAATCTGACAGTAGTTGTCCGTGTTAATCACGTGACCTTGCTTTGCTCTGTCAAACAGCGGCTTCTCTTTACCTGCACAATAATTGTTAAATAATTCAAAAATCATGATTTTACTCCCTTTCCACTTAAAAATGAACACTTCACTTAATATGATCTTGACACATGTAAAGTGTGACCAACATTGTCAGAATATTGAAATGTTATTTTGTAATAATATGTTGGTACGAGCTGTGACAGCAATTGTTTTTGATGCTGTTACCAGTATCACAGGTTGAAGAACAAAGTACATATGACATCCATGTACATCGTAGCTGTGTGCATGCTGTTCATAGATTGATACAGCGCAGCTTGTGCCCATTAATATCGAACTTTATGATTCGGACGCTAAAAATGTGGCCAGATCACGTACAAGCTTATGGGAAAAAAGGTCTATTTTATGAAAAAATCACTCAGAACATCACTTATATTTAACAAAATATCATTCGTTACTGCACTTTTAATTATTGTAATCTCCGACCTACCGTAAGTTGATTTGGGATCTTTAATGAGACTTCTGTCAGCTGGATTGGACAGAGTGCAGACCGTTTTACTGATGACAGTGGCTGCACAGAATATTGTCGATGTCTGATTTTGTTGGTTAAGGAAAGTAATAATAATCAAGTTAAGTGATATCCTAACTAAAAGTTCTCGATTAATCTGGTATGTCGCCGCCCGCGTGCATTGTGCAAGCATTAAACTTGCATTAAAACTGGTTTATAATATAAAACTCTCAGATGCCTGGTGAATGAAGGGATATTGCATACAAGTAACAGGTATAATACAGAGTCATGTCCACATGACGGCCATGTGCATAATGTAATATACACCATATTAATAATATGTAATATATCTCAAGATTGAGAGCGTCCATCTCTAGAAAGTTGTATATCGAAAATAAAGTGGTACCACACTAAGGTGGAGAGTTCCAGCTGTGAGCTGATAGATTGGTTGAAGGTAGCTGGAGTATGATGGCACGTTCCAGCTGTGAGCTGATAGATTGGTTGAAGGTAGCTGGAGTATGATGGCACGTTCCAGCTGTGAGCTGATAGATTGGTTGAAGGTAGCTGGAGTATGATGGCACGTTCCAGCTGTGAGCTGATAGATTGGTTGAAGGTAGCTGTAGTATAGTATGATGGCACGTTCCAGCTGTGAGCTGATAGATTGGTTGAAGGTAGCTGGAGTACGATGGCACGTTCCAGCTGTGAGCTGATAGATTGGTTGAAGGTAGCTGGAGTATGATGGCACGTTCCAGCTGTGAGCTGATATATTGGTTGAAGGTAGCTGAAGTATGATGGCACGTTCCAGCTGTGAGCTGATAGATTGGTTGAAGGTAGCTGAAGTATGATGGCACGTTCCAGCTGTGAGCTGATAGATTGGTTGAAGGTAGCTGGAGTATGATGGCACGTTCCAGCGGTGAGCTGATAGATTGGTCGAAGGTAGCTGGCGTATGATGGCACGTTCCAGCTGTGAGCTGATAGATTGGTTGAAGGTAGCTGGAGTACGATGGCACGTTCCAGCTGTGAGCTGATAGATTGGTTGAAGGTAGCTGGAGTATGATGGCACGTTCCAGCTGTGAGCTGATAGATTGGTTGAAGGTAGCTGAAGTATGATGGCACGTTCCAGCTGTGAGCTGATAGATTGGTTGAAGGTAGCTGGAGTACGATGGCACGTTCCAGCTGTGAGCTGATAGATTGGTTGAAGGTAGCTGGAGTATGATGGCACGTTCCAGCTGTGAGCTGATAGATTGGTTGAAGGTAGCTGGAGTATTTAATGGCACGTTCCAGCTGTGAGCTGATATATTGGTTGAAGGTAGCTGAAGTATGATGGCACGTTCCAGCTGTGAGCTGATAGATTGGTTGAAGGTAGCTGGAGTATGATGGCATGTTCCAGCTGTGAGCTGATAGATTGGTTGAAGGTAGCTGGAGTATGATGGCACGTTCCAGCTGTGAGCTGATAGATTGGTTGAAGGTAGCTGTCATTCTGACCGCGAATATTAACTTGACCTGGTGGTTTGGGATTGGTGGCTCTCGAGCTGCTTGACATGTCATTTAACAGGTCAAAAAGGTGAAAATATTAAATTAAGTTGTGATTTATTGAATATTGCATATTGCATAATTGAATTCTAGACAACTGAAAGATTTGACCTTTCATTCTGTGGACAAAACAGAAATCAAATCAATTCTCATTCGAGAAGCTCTGATATTTGAGGAGTATATTCGAACTGCATCGCAGGGTAAGTTTACATTCTCCTTTGGCAGGGAAATCAGGAGGTTTAAGCGTTGATTAAGGTTGGGCGTATACTAATTATGATCTTTATATCGACCACGATGCCCTACGCTACAACATAACTCCTTGAGGACTTGTAGCCAACAGCTTAATTCACCAAAGACAGATTAATTTTAGAAAAACGGTCGCTGGTAGGTATCAGACCCCCCGGAAATTTAAGAGAACTTTATAAAAACTTTCTTGCAGTTCACTGATTTGTTCTTGGTGTAGGTTAATAAAATATATCAGAATGGAGGACTAAGGTACATATATATAATACTAATAATTCAGGAATTTGATCATCTTTGACTTTTAAGCCAAGGTTATGCAAGACATAACATATCCTTCAGGTCCTGTCAGTTCCTGTCAGTTCTTGTCAGTTCCTGTCAGGTCCTGTCAGTTCCTGTCAGTTCCTGTCAGCTCATCTCTTCCTTTAGCAAGAAAAGTATCCCGGGGAGGTTTATTACATTTTATTCGGACATAATAAATCAATTATGATCTTAATACGAAACATAATGTTCTGCCATAATATACCAACAGTTTATATTCCGATTGTCGGCATGAAGGTCCTCCGACATAATCCGACATGATCCGACATAATCCGACATAATCCGACATAATCCTTACAGAGTTATGGCAGATACCGGTATAACTACAAATTAGAAAGAGTTATAATGTCACATTTGTCACATTTGTCACATTTGTCAAATTTGCCTTCTAGTTCTGGCAGACTAACTATTATAACAAATTGCAAGTTTTAAATTTAAATAGTTCCCACAAAGAATATTTTAACAGAACCTTGCCGAGACGGTTAGAAAAAAACGGTTTAGTGATTTTGTAATAAAAGTGTCGATTCACTCGATAGATACTGCTTTATCAACGTAAAGGAATGTTTATAAGTCTGGCGGAAATAACCTAAAATGTAACGCGACAAACAGTTTGACTTAAGCTAAACTCTACAAAATATTATTCTTATTTTTAACCCCTTTTTAAATTTCCAGCTTTTAGGTACGTTCGGGTTGGAATATTGAACAGCGTAGTACATAATGTTGCCTTACACGAGTGTTTAGTTTAACATAACAAATAACTTACAACGTTAATACTTAATATCTTGCATCGAGTTTCTTGACAATTCAAGATGTTTTAAACTATACACCTAGAACTGGGGCTAGATAAGCTGGTTGTGGGCATAATTGAGGTATAGTATTGAATATTGCAACTTTACAACATTAGATTCCAACATTAACACATTGTGTGTATAAGCTTAAATTCCTGCAAACTGTAATATTATATAACTTTAACTATAATATATAATTACATTATCTAATCGTGACCAAACTGAAGTGACTAAATTTCAATCTGTTGAGGGCCATGGATTTCGTTCCAGCTTGACGGGTTATTCATTTGCCAATATTCGCCCACTTTTATTAAAAAAAATCAAATATCGATAATATTGAACGTCGCTGCATTATCAAGTATCAACGTGTCATCTGATAATAAGAATAATAAACTTTCTGGGAATATTTTTGGGAAGAAAATTGGTCTCTATTATGTAATGTGTTTTTCCTTCCTGATTTTAATTCTTCTTTCCGATGTTACGTCATGAAAAACATTTGATCCTAACTATTGTTGTGGGCGTGTCGATCCTATCTCATTGTCTCATTGTACACCAAGTACACAAATCTTATAGAACGAATAGCGGCCGATGGTGCGAGAAAGTGCGGTATTAGGTCAATAGTGCGATTCCGCACCCACCGCACTTATGCTGATATAAGAATGCGTGGAGGACTAGTACACGGAGGGGAGTGCGGTGTATGTATATTGTATATTGTATAATGTATATTGTATAATGTATTTAATCTATGGTACACTTCAGTCTTAAATGGACAATGGTCACACTCATCACCTGATGAATTAACATGATTCACAGTCAACTCGTGCTCATCATCATCTTTACATTAATCGATGAAATTCACAGTCGCATTTCTGATTTCGCAACACGCTTGCTTAAAATTCCAAGGACCATCACGCAAAGCCATCTTATCATTCGCAAGTACTCATTACATTTAGCGATAAGCATTACAATCAATATTAGTCTAGAGCACAATTAAATCACGTGGTACCCGGAGTTAGCTAGAATATTATGATAATCTATCGAGTTTATCATATATAAATTTGCTCATGCATGCGAGATTAGGAGCGTGTGATTTGTATGGAGAGCGTGTAGCATTATATCGATCCAACACTGCTCACTAGTTTTATAACACTTTAAAACTTTAATACATCAAATTTCGTGCCAATTATCGATCAAATTTTTGTCTCAGCATGTTATTTCTTGAAGGATGGATATGATTTATGATAGACGAAGTAAGCAACGTAAATGACTGATGAGTTAGTAGGTACGTTGTATGAGTATAAACTAAAATCCCAGCGTTTATGTGGTTTGAAACTTTGTCAAAAATAATCAGGAATGTATCTGATCAAGAGGATAATAATCTCCTAATAATATGGAGAACCTAGTTGCCATTTCCAGAACCTACGGTTGCTACGGTTTCTACGGTTACTACGGTTACTACGGTTACTACGGTTGGGTAACGGATAAGCTTGACGGTTGAATGGTATGAAAAGGTCTTAAAGCCAGATAATTTACATGATGCAACTTGATACTTTTATCAGCTATCCCGGCTCAATTACAGGATACCAGGAAATAGAAATGCCACATATTTTAGCGGATCAATTTATCATATTTTATGATATCCACATAAGGTTTAAAGATATGCAGACAAACTATGTCTGATATTATCATATTATTCAAAGGATACTATCATCATAAGATAGAAGAATACTCCGTAGGTGTATTGTAGTACCAAGACAAAGTGAACCACAGTGAACGTAACCAGGATAAACACTGCCAACACCTGTAATGGACCGTGTCAAAGGGCTCGTAATACCCAAAAATCGATAGAAAGAAATCGAAGGATGATATTTGCGAGTCATTACTTTTTAAGTATTTGAAAAATGTGCAAAGTCAACAAATTATCAAGATTTAAGATATCAAAGATAGTTAACTTTGAAGCTGGCTCTACACATAGCCCTAACTAACCTGCCCTAACCTGCTAACTAACCTGCAAGATGTTGGTGGGCCAGGTTAACCCGTTCTCTCGATCAGGCCTGGTGATGCACATCTCCTTGCTAACAAATATAACGAGGAGTTAGAACTAATAAAATAACATATAGAACTGGAAGTTATATATAGACTGTACTACAATTGCATAATTTTATTTACAAGGCAAAGGTTAGTTGACAAAATATGTCAAATAAAACGCTTGAAACTACAAGCGGGATGATGGGAGTCTCTTTAGACGCAAATCTGCTTTGACTGGATTTAGCGTCAAGATCGAGTTAACAACCGCCGCGTCCACGAAGTCAGAAATTATAGTGAAATTGTCGTGATTTGCCGTGAACCGTGTTCTGTTATTGGAGTTGTTCAAACTAGACTGGAAAACCCTGACGGTCTTTGGGGTTAAAAGTTATGAATTTCCCTACAAAGTTTAACTGGATTCGTAGAATCAACTGTGACGTCGATGTTAAAGTATGGTGTGGAACTGTGGAAGTTTAACTTTTAGGAAGACCAGCTATAATTAGTAGCAACATCTTCAGTTTATCACAAATCACGACAATTTGAGGTCAATTGGTAACCATTTTCGATACCATACTCTCCATACGATATTCATATTATATTGCTTTTAAATATTAAAACTATGTTCGATGATCATAGTATATTTACATGGTTCTACATAAAATTTGTCAGAAAAATCCCCCAAACGTTTAAATCGGGAGCGTTCTCAACTGACGTTAGAATCAAATTAAGAGCTGTCAATACTGCTGGTTTAATTTATAGCATGCAGTTCAGGTTCTGTGTGTGGAATATATCGAATGGTCAGAGATGTGTGGTCGTGTTTCGAGAAATTTGACATTGATTTAAGGATTACCCGATAATGACGCAGATACCCAGGAAAATATCGAGTAGTCAGAAATGTGTGGGGTACAGTAAAACCCACCGATTTACCGCAGAATTTGAAGGAAAGGAAACAGCCGCGTTAAATTGGGATTTCCGGTAATTCGGGGTTTTGGTTGTTCGCATTAAATATATAATGTTAAGCTCCATTCAGGTCTTCGGGAGAAAGAAATGGCCGCGGTTAATCGGGGTTTGCGATACTGGGGCGCGGTAAATCGGGGTTTTAATGTATGACAATAAGCTGTATACAGTTCATATTATACAGGTATACATACCTGGATACTAACTTCACTTCCGAGCAACCTTTCAAATAAATGTCAACGGAAGTGACGCAAATAAAACATTTGACTTCGTCTATTCTAATCTGTCCAGCCTGCCCAGTTTGACGGGTCTGCCTTCAGTTTGCCCAGTCTGGCTGCTCTCTGAGTCTGCTAAGTCTGCCAGGTCTGACTCAAGTAACCAAGTCAATACACTTGTCTACACAGGCAAATAACAAGCACTAGTATTCGCGCTTTGTCCGGTAACTCTCGCAAGCAAGTCCAGCACATTTATTGTGTGATGAGTTTAGTTAAGTGGGAGTTTAATTTTAGATTTCGTGAGATTTTGAACGTAAACTATAAACTGTGATACTTGTGAAATTTGAGTCACAATGAAAAGGCTTTAATGTTTGGAAATTAATATGATTATAAAACTAAAAGAAATTTAAGGCTTTACAAAATACTTTTATACATCTGTACATGATAAAATTTATTTTGGGAAAAATTCACAATATTTTTTACACGATTTAAATTCATTAGGTAAATTATTATAGCGGAATCGTCATAAGAAGATAAATTGTATTATATGTAATTGATAATAAACATATTATTTGAAATTATTAGGCAAATTTCCCCCTTCAAAAAGCACAGAGGTATTAGTATTCTCAGGAGGTATAAGTATTATCAGGACACTTCTAGTAAACAGAAGAGAGGGGGAGATGACTTTACAGCTGCAGGGTGATCGAACTGCCATAAAATACACCAACCAATCAATGGGCTCAAGTATTAAATGAGAGGAACCACCACAAAGTCTAATAAAAACCACCATTTACCCTAGTGACCTTACCGAACAGCGACGCTAGTTAAGCAATCATAACAGCGGACGTTACCTCATTAAACTTAAAGAGCGCGAGCGGGCGCACTAAAACCAATCAACCAAAAAACCAACCATGTAACAGTGATTAAATACAAAACATGCATAACAAAACACTGACATATTGGGTCAATTTGCACTGAAAAGCGGCACCATATGTGCAGGACGCAGGTATGTACCACGTGTTCAAAACATCTGAAACAGCTATGAGGTGACGATCATCAGTCAGTGATTGTTATTACGCTTCGCCTAAACGAGGACAATTAAAACCAAACAGACTTCTTTCAAAAATTCGAACGTAAGCACAGCAAAATGTGTATTTGAACGTATATAATAACGAAATTATTATATACGACTAGCAACTAAGTAAAATAACTAATAAAAGTTGGCGGTGGCGGACAAGGTACTGGGTAACCCGGTGGCGGACAAGGTACTGGGTAACCCGGTGGCGTACCACGGATAAGAGCCTTGAAAGGACGGAGTAGGTTAAACAACAAGAACGGGATACACGAATAATGACAGATCAAACAGCAGGACGTAAGCTGGCCTCAGCATCATGTGGTCACCATAACAACGGACTACGACCCAGGTGCCAGCTACACAATAGCCAGCTCATTTAGCTTGAAATTCTATATCGGTAATGTTACAATGAGTTGGTTCGGAGTCAGGATGTTGTGAGGTATTATAATAGCACTGCCTCCTCTCTCTTTCTCCTCACAACGACCTGTCAATCTTATTCGGTTCCTAATTATCGTCCATTATAATATGTTGTGAGACTGAAAAAATGAGATGAATAGTCCGTTAGTCTGAAGCATTTGTTCCTCAGAATTACTTTGACGCATGATAAGACACGCGAGATAGAAGAAATCTCCAGTTATAGAGAGAGAGAGAGATAATGGAGCTGTAATCAAAGAAATAAGAGAAAGTAATGGCGATACCACCTGTGGAGCAGTGACTGACGACAAAAGGGGGGGGGGGGGGGGGCAAAATAGGGCATTAGGTTACATCACAAAATACACAGCCCCCCCCCCCCCCCCCCCCCCATGCTAACACACTCAGAATACCATGAAAATCAATGACGAGACCTTACTCAATTTTCAGACCTGTTCTCAAATTTCTTTCGTCAGAGGTTAAATCATCACATTGATAGGTTGAATTTTTACGTCTTCACCAGACGGCACGGGCATAATTTACCGTATATTTTTAAGTGTAATTTTAAAATTCAGAAACGTGCGGGATCGCATAAATTACGACAATTTATCTCACAGACGGCATAATAGCAACGTAAATAATAAATATGGTGAGTGCAGTATGTTTCCCACTGTAAGACTATTATAGTTTAACCTACCTTACTCGGGATTATTATGACCGGGATAAAGTGGCGGGTTTAGGGTAATTTCGCCATATTTTTCCCGAACCACATTTTCACCGGTCGTTAATAAACCCGCCGACTCAGCTTTTAGGGTTCCCAAGGGGTATGGGTGCTCATATTTTAATCGTTGTCTTATATTCACTAAAGAAGACTATTGGGACACTTGTTGTAGGTTTTTCGACTTCTTTTGGCTAAAATTACAAAAAATTCACCTTTTTGCCCAATTCTTGTCATATAACCTTATTGTCAAAGTTGATTTAAATAGCCAATTTTTAATTTCTTAGGTATTGACTATCTCTACATAAAAATAGGACTCAAAGTAAAAGTAACAGTTAAATTAAAACTTGAATTAATTAAAACTATCAATAACATGAATCAGTATCATCAGTCATTTATTCATAATTCTAAACAATGTGAACGATGCATTCTTTCGAAGAAAATTATTTTCCGTATAGTTTGATTAACCACTGCACGAGTCATTATTTCTGTCTACTTTCAACAATTATTGATAATTCGACTTGTTTCACAAGTTTTAGCAATGCGAAAATTTCTAAACTTGCTTATCTCTAATAAGGAAATTTACATCTGAGACAAAATTTTTGAATCTAAAATTGAAAGGTTGGACACCGGTAAAATGGCGACCGGGAAAATGTAGTGGGTTTTGAGCAATTTCGCCATATTTTTCCCGAACCATATTTTAACCGGTCGTTAATAAACCCGTCGTAATAATCCCGAGTAAGGTATATATAGGGACTGCATTATGTGCTAAATGTTTATCTCTTTATCTCAACTCAGTCACTTATCTGGGGCACACCCTCTGGCAGGCAGATAAGTAGTTATCATTATGCATTGTTAAGGGGGCCGGGGGGGGGGGGGGTCTTCATCAAAATTCTCTCGAAATCGAGTTTATAGTTGTTTCTGATAGAGGGGAGTGATATCTATCAGCTGCTTTTAATCCCATGGAAAAATATTGTTCCTAGCCGAAATTATCACCGGTCAAAGGTCAGCGCTTATGTGTAATTGTATTGCGCGAGCGATTTTCAATCGCGCATTCTGAAAATTGAGTCTAAAAATCTATCTTCTCCTATATTTTTTGAGCGATCACCCTAAAACTTTCAGGATATGTTCTTAGGATCAGTTTGAAGAGAACTCTAGAGCCAGAATTTTGAGATAGGCCTTTAAATATTTTTAATTCGATTTTGAAAATCTTGGACCTTGATTTTTAGAGGTCCAAGATTTTCAAAATCGAATTAAAAATCTTTAAAGGCCTATCTCCAAATTCTGGCTCTAGAGTTCTCTTCTAACTGATCCTAAGAACATATCCTGAAAGTTTGAGGGTGATTGCTCAAAAAATGTAGGAGAAGATAGATTTTTAGACTCGATTTTCAGAACGCGCGATTGAAAATTGCTCGCGCAATACAATTACTGAATTACACATTTATAAGCGCTGACCTTTGACCGGCGATAATTTCGGCTAGGAACAATACTTTTCCATGGGACCAAAAGCAGCTGATAGATATCACTCCCCTCTATCAGAAACAACTATAAACTCAATTTCGAGAGAATTTTGATGAAGACCCCCCCCCCCCGGCCCCCTTAACAATTAGGCTATTAGGGATGATAAAGTCCCTCACAACTGCTGGTTTTGCGCCGGGGCAACCATCGTAAACTATAGCGTGTGTAAGTGACATGCCAAACTATAGCGTGTACTTAATTTGTGACAAACAATCTATAAACGATATCATATGTTTGTGACAAATAATTTATAAACGGTAGCGTATATTAGTGACCAACAATCTCAACTTGATCGCTACTTCAATTACAACTGCACACTCTCAACTCTCGAGATCCACCCGGCCCGTTTAATCATTAATAGCTGTCAAGATGTCATGCCGCTCCGTTAGCGCCTACATGTACTGACATATTGCTGCCGGCTGCGGTACACAAACCTGACATATTGCTGCCGGCTGCGGTACACAAACCTTACATATTGCTGCCGGCTGCGGTACACAAACCTGACATATTGCTGCCGGCTGCGGTACACAAACCTTACATATTGCTGCCGGCTGCGGTACACAAACCTGACATATTGCTGCCGGCTGCGGTACACAAACCTGACATATTGCTGCCGGCTGCGGTACACAAACCTTACATATTGCTGCCGGCTGCGGTACACAAACCTTACATATTGCTGCCGGCTGCGGTACACAAACCTGACATATTGCTGCCGGCTGCGGTACACAAACCTTACATATTGCTGCCGGCTGCGGTACACAAACCTTACATATTGCTGCCGGCTGCGGTACACAAACCTGACATATTGCTGCCGGCTGTACACAAACCTGACATATTGCTGCCGGCTGCGGTACACAAACCTGACATATTGCTGCCGGCTGAGGTACACAAACCTGACATGTCAAGACACGCTCATACTTCATAGCATATATAAATATTGGTACTTGGACACTGTAACTTGGACACTGTAACTTGGACACTGTAACTTGGACACTGTAACTTGGATTCTGTAAAGTGTAACTAGGACACTGTAACTAGGACACTGTAACTTGGACACTGTAACTATGACACTGTAACTAGGATACTGTAACTTGGACACTGTAACTTGGACACTGTAACTATGACACTGTAACTAGGATACTGTTACAAGGACACTGTAACTTGAACACTGTAACTATGACACTGTAACTAGGACCCTGTAACTTGGACACTGTAAATTGGACACTGTAACTTGGACACTGTAACTATGACACTGTAACTAGGATACTGTAACTATGACACTGTAACTTGAACACTGTAACTATGACACTGTAACTAGGACCCTGTAACTTGGACACTGTAACTTGGACACTGTAACTAGGACACTGTAACTAGGACACTGTAACTAGGACACTGTAACTAGGATACTGTAACTTGGACACTGTAACTATGACACTGTAACTAGGATACTGTTACAAGGACACTGTAACTTGAACACTGTAACTTGGATACTGTAACTTGGAAACTGTAACTTGGACACTGTAACTAGGACACTGTAACTAGGACACTGTAACTAGGACACTGTAACTAGGACACTGTAACTAGGACACTGTAACTAGGATACTGTTACTAGGACACTGTAACTAGGACACTGTAACTCGGACACTATAACTTGATTCGGAGACACAAATTTGAAAGGTCTTCTCAAATAGAAAAATGAAATTTTTGAAATATATTTCATTATGCAACAAGCCATAGAAAATGACAATTTATTCGATCCGCAACCGCCACAACTAAATGGTTTCCATATAAAACAAGCACTGGAATCGGGCTTAACAATCTGTTTTAGCAAAACTACTAAACTAGGAAAACCTTTAAACTACATAATATCAAACAGGTCGGAACATGTTAACTTTTAACTTTAGCTCAAATAAACCTTCTAGCCAACTATCTTATTGGGAACTGAGCAGTTCAACGTAGAATATTAATCATTGCTCATTCAGACTACTTAAGAAACTTCAACAAAGCTACGGAAAATAATTATAAATATCTTAACAAATGAAAGTTGAAACGTCGTTAGGTCTTAGGATAATTAATAATTTTATTGTATATATGATACTCCTATTCGTTGTCGAGTGCTTTGCACTGTATGGTACTCTAAACGAATATTTAATCATTTTAACAACATATTCTCTGTAACAAATCAATGAATGTGATAAAATATTTTCAGTTCCACAACATAGAAGTGTAATAGCCAAGTTACTGTCGGTTGACAATGCCAAATAGCAGCGATGGAGAGAGTGGTGGAGAATGACACTTACCGAACTTGTATCATTGTTTTCCTCGCAACCCTTATACATTCCTAGCATATCACTATCCAGTTGAAGTTAACAAACTTAACACCAATGTTTGAGTTGATGGGCAATTGCCACCAGGAGGATTGTGGCGGTTTTGACGATCGTGGGATACTTAAGTTAAGTTAATATAATAATATAAGGCCAGAGAGGTGGCAGGGAGTCAGGGAGTGTTTTCTTGGTATTTGCACTGTAGTTGTATGGTTATTTCTAGTCGCCTATCACTAGATTGCGTTGACCTGAGAATCAAGATAATGATGTCTTAACTAGGGACAGTTTACCGTTAACCAAATCGAGAGCAATGATAGTTGGAACTGTTACCGACATTACAAGAACTACAGACTATTTAGAGGCTCAGATGTATTTTTGAAATAAAGATTTAAGAGGCCATTTAGTGATTGCCGACAACATATCATTATAATAGTGGCTTGTGGTTTGTGCAAGAGCTAAGAGAAGTAGCTCACACAAAAAACAACAAGAGACAAGCAAGGGAGCGTCCGCTGGGTTTATTAATATATTCTGCGTCAGCAGCAGCAAATTATGTCTGATCCTTGGGGAAACAATAAATCAGGGAGACGCATTATAAATCGTTTATAATTCCTTTGAGCTGAGCGAACTCCCAGTGCAAATATCCTAGCCCCTGGGGCCATTTTAATGAGAATGGCATCAAATCATTCCTTTTGCCTGTCCTAATAAAGGGATAGAATAATGGGATCGTTTCGAGTTATCCTATGAAGACGGACTAACGTCACAGCCTCGGCTATAATATTAAAAATAAATCAAATTTTGACTTTCCTTGACCACTTAGGCATCGCTTTTGCATTACAACAAAGCGATAAGATTTGAATTATAAATCATATTTCAGAAGTGGGTGACAACTACATTGGGTACATGCGGAAATCCAGGTCAATTGCTTTAATTATTGCAAGAAACACCGGTGACTGTGCTAAAGAATTACATACTTTGAAGATATAACAGAATCTACAGATACACTGATTAGCCGAGCCAGACGAACAACAAACTCGGCATCAACTTAATAAATACCACAACCTGTAGTAAAGTAAAGTAAGTATACAGTGTTAATACCTCAGGAATTAACCAAATATATGTAAATTCAGATGCTTTGTTGTGCTGGTACTATTGTACTAAGGTACTGTGAGGAATGATTCGGGACGATTCAAATCTTCAAAGGCACAGTGTATCTTTTAAACCTATTGACATAGTCTAAATACTAAATTTAAACTATGTAAATAGACTGTATACATTATCTATACTAAATAGTCTGATACTTTTGAACAATGCTTGATCAAAAATTACAATTCGCGTTAGTAAAAGAAAAACTGTTGTAAATGTCAGAAAAACTGTTTGAGTCACAGGACGGTTATCAAAGGGTCGCGTAGGTCCTCGCGGAATTTCTTTAATTCTCTCTTCACCAGAGAATAAGCATTCCGCGAAAATTTTCGGGCCTACACACATCCTATCTGAAGAATTCATTCGGAGCTCTAGTGATTAAACCCATGCAGTAAATGCGTCTAACACGAAGCATTTACGTGAGATACCGCTTCTCATTATAACTCACTTTCATGCTGCCTCTCTAGTGCAGTCTTCAAAAACTCATTAGTCTTTCTCAACTCTTCTATCTTCTTCTCGGTCGCTAACATCCAGGCTTGGTACTTCTCTCCCCAACTTTTCTGGATCTGTATCTTCAGTTTTTCCTCAAGTTCGCACCATGCTGCTTCCTTTTCTGAGAGTTCCGTTAGAGATTCCTTGACCCTCATCTCCAGGTTTACCATCTGAACTCCCTGCATTTGATTATCTTCTCTCAGGGCTGTGTTTTCTTCCCGTAGTTTTGCTATGATGTCTTTAAACTGATCCATGCTCGCATTAGAGTCTGATATAACGCTTTGCTTAAAACTTTGGATGACATTCTGTTTTTTGTCCAAATCCATGTTGTATTCCTCCGCTAGTTTCTGTAGCTCAGCTATGTGTTCGTCTCTGAGCGTCCGTAGGTCGTTTAGCATGGAAGCTTTAGCACCAGACATTTCATTTTTGTGCTGTTCTTTCAGCTCCTCTATCTTCCTTTCAAGATCGGATACCTTCAGCTTGGACTTTTCAAGCTCCTCCTCCAACTTCGGATCTGCAAAAATTAAAACTATATCCCGATAGAACTGTTAAGGTCGAGGAACGAAATATAATAAAGCCACTCTCTGTGAATTTAATCATCAACCACAGCTATTATCTAAAAGGATCTAGTGGTCGCTCTGTTTAAAAGGTCGACTGCTCGTTCGCGTTCAACACACGTGAAAGCCAACTTATAAAGGTTCAACTCTCTGGACAAGCTGTCACACACAAAACAGAACAGTGAACTTGACAAAATAATAATTAGGGGCATGCGAAAAAGTCAAATTTTATCGGAAATCTGAGTGCTCTTCTGATTAAACACCTTTTCTATGACAAGGCAGCTGATTAATTATGTGTCGTCATTATTTCAAACGATACCACTGATTCTGTTGAACATATCCTACTAAGAGTAAAATTTAAAAGTCTAGACCCTAGCAAACAGTCACACTAAAAGCGCTGACCGTTAAAATTCTGACACAAATCACAAGATCACCTGTTCTGTAAACCACATCTCCGGTATCCTCAGGAGAGGGACTATCCTCAGACTCGATGATAGGACCACTGGTGCTAGCTTTACGGCCAAGGTTAGGACCTTTTGCAACTGTCTTCCCTTCTTTCTTGATGATCATCTGCAGCTTGGCTCTTCTCAGCTCATCAAGCCTGGGGAAGGTGGATTCGTGAGCCGGGGGGGGGGGGGGGGGGGGGGGGTCAATAAATCATCACACCATAATATAATTCAGAGGAGTGAATGATAATAATACATTTATATGAATGATTTGTGAGCGATCTTATCAGTCCATAATTAATTTCTGATTATTAGCACTCGCTAAATTGTCATGGTGATACCGGTATACAGTTGGAACAGTGTGATATACAGGGACTGTATAAACTTCATTTACACTAACAAAGAGGAATGCGGTAAAATCTTCTAGAAGCTTCTTAGAAATTATACTATTTAAAAAGCTATCGTGCTAATCTTTTTTAACGTACCTGCTTTTCAAGACATTATTTTCCTTCTCTAGCTCTTTTACGCGTAATTTAGCGCTCAACTCCTCACTTTTAGATCCACACTTCTTGGACATCGTCACGGATCTTTTTAAATCACGTCATAGCATCTAAGAAATTTTCTAGACAATAAATTAATGATGTTTGGAGATGTTGCTGAATTGTTTATTATGATAATTCGGACATAACAATTGGAAAATTATTGAAGTGTATAGTTTACCGATGGCTGGATAATAATTGGAATTTTTGATATCGTTGAAGCAATGAGAAACATATCATTGAATATATGATTTATAAAATTTTTAATAAAAATCGAAATACAATTAATAAGAGTACAGTTTTCACTTGAATTATACAAATAGCTTTTTAAAGCAATATTTACAAATTGACAAATTATATGATCATGATCACTTAGATACTCTGATAAATTGCATCCGTTGAATGAATGAATAAATAAACACTATTGAACCTAAAAATTATCTTGAATCCTCAATAAAATGAAATTGGGATGATAAGATAGAAATAAAAAATAAATTCATCTTCGAATGCAAAATACTACAAGAAAACTGCAGCTCGATAATGACCACTATTAGGCTTACACTTAGAGATCACACTTCTCAAATACATCAACAGCTTCAAAATCTTAACTCTGTGACTCTCATTCGTAACATTCTTGGGAAGATTCTCATTAAGAGATTTAACAATATCGTAGGCAGATCCAAAGAATCTTCTTCTAACCAGAGCAAGCAAGTAATTGTACACATCCTGAAAATAAGTTATCTCGGAGAGGTTTGAAAATTTAATCTCCTTTCCGATAATAGTTCTATAGAGCTCCAGAGCTTTAGCTGCGTCATCTACTTGAAGATATGCTAAAGCCAGCATTCTCAGTGTTTTTGTACGATAAGGTTCTACAAGAATTCGGGGGGCGTTCTTGAGATACTCCAGCAGAGGGATTGCGCAGCTGAGTTTCCCTTGTGAGACGTGAAAGGAAGCGTAGGACATCAGAACCATACACACAATGTGGTAGGACGTCTGGTTACCAAGCTTGGAGACCAGGTTTTGGAAGACAGAGTCAATAATTTTAGACTTTTTGAGGATGTTCAGCAAAGTACAATAACCAAATACTTGCTCAATTTCGGACAGTTCAGTTTTGTGCTGGAAGATGCCGCAAGCTCGATCAAAACACTTTTTAGACGCTTTGGTGCTGTCCAAACTTTTGAGAACCCCAGAATGTAGGAGAAGGATCTGAACTGCTTCGTTCATCTGCTTACTTCGTAAAGAATAGCAGTAGGTTTCGTGGAGAAGTAACTCAGCTTTACACAATTTAAGATTCTCTGCACAAAGCTTTGCCTGGACGCTGTAGCTTGCAAAGCACCGATCAATGTCCAAGTAAACTTCAAGATCCTCCGCCATCTTCGCAAACAAACGACACTCAAAGTGGGCTCTCTCAGAGTAGAACAACTGTGAAACGATCCGATAGATCAGGACCTGTTCAGAGGACGGGAAGTTGCCGTACAAGCAGATAAATTCTTCTGTCAAGTAAGCATTATCAAGCTGAGCGCTATTCTTCAAACTTTGCATCAAAATTGCGGGACTGTTGTGATAAAGATGAAATGCGAGGGCCTCCGGATTACTGGTGATAGCATGAGCAACTTCAAGACTTTGAGATATCTCCAACAGGTTTGGTAAGTCTCTGAGATGAAGATGACTACAAGGACACTGTGTTATGTGTTGTAAACTTTGTGTTACAAGTTTCTTGAGGGTTAGGTTACCCTCTTGAGATGTCATCTCCGGCGTCAACTTTATCAGTCCAATATCTTCACAAATGATGTTCAGACTCAAAAGTGTCCTCTTCAATGTGAAGTATGTTGTTACTGAATGTTGAGGAGGTTAAGCAAGCAGCTGTCACTGACTCCTGATCTGAAAATTGTTAGCAAGCGAGAAAAAGTGTTAGCAAAACCTGCCAATTCTGAGTCAACAAGGCTGACAAGTGATCTCAGAGTTCGCATTTTTGACTTCAATTTGAGAGCTGGTATGTGACTTTCTGACAAATAAACAGATTCACACAGCTTGATGACTTGACCAAATACCGCAGTCCCAAAGACAACACAAACAGACTGAGATCTCTTTTGTGGCAGTAGAAACCTCTCCAAGCACCGAGTTACAACATTTGATCTGATCGACACGGCAATAATGACTTTAAAATACAGGGACAGGTAGTCAATCACATCAAAAAGTGATTCAATGCTGACAGTAACAAACTTGTGATCTAACCCGACTTGGTAAAACAAGGAGGCCAGTATTGCTTGGGTCAGGTCCTCAAACGTGGTGTCGGCAAACACCTCACAAGTTACAATCAGCTCCCCTCTAAACAGTTTCATCAAGTGTGCCATAAAAACATACGAGTCTGTCTTAGAACATGACACATAAAGGGATTTCTTGATATGCTTTACATAGAAATCAAATTCGCTGAATGACCGATTTCCTGTTTGGGAGGACACTGCCGACAGTTTTTTGGCGATAAATCCTTGATTACAGTATAAAAAGAATGACGCGTAATCGAATACGAGGGGAGCAAAGCTGTTAACATCACACTCCCAGAAAGTTAGAACAAAAAGCTGGACGTCGACCGAGAGAGTTCGTTCATTAATGTTGTATTTTGTGAGCAATGGGCCTATCTCTTCGATTGGCGGGCACATTCTTTTCGTTCTTGAGAATTGGAGATGGTGAACAGGTATTCCTGTGACAACCTCTGTTCCAAGTGAACAGATACAGTTCAACTCGTCGACAATGATAATGGCATCACAGTTGACACAGCATTCTTTTAGTTCCGTGAGAGAGTTTGTGACAAGGTAAATATTGCTGAGCATGAAATGTGATATCAGCGAAGAAAATAGTCTGAGGATTTCGCTGACAATACTAGTTGCAACAGTTTCGTTCAGTGTTTCACACACATATATTATGATCTTCCGTTTAAAAATAGAAACAGACGAAAAGGAGTTCAGTTTATAGTTTTGTTGCTGAGAGAAGGATATCATAAACTCAAGAAATGTTGAAACTATCTGACTGCTGATGACAACTGAGTATGGGGAATAACTTGACGATGATGCAGGTCTCTTCAGATCTTTACCCCGAACAGAAATAACATTTTTGAGTACACTTACTTTGTGCTGATAGAGTTGGACATTTTCCTTCATAGCAAGTTGATCGTCCAATGCGCACACAAGCTCTTTATGAATCTTTTTTCGAGAAGATTTTATGTTATTGATTTCAGATTTAAGCTTGACATTTTGATCTTTAAGAGCCACATTTGATGAAAGTAATGTCTGAATTTGTGAACTCATTTTGCTTTTCATGTCGTTCAGTTCATGTTTCAGTTTCTCATTCTGTTTCTTGTATTCTGATTTATTGATAGAAACAAAGGAAACAAAGCTCCCATTTGCATTCTTGTTGGAGCTCACATTAGAGAAGAATGAGGACGATTTGTTCACAGAGTCCCCACGCAATGATACTCGTCGCTGGCCGCCATTAAGCCTCCTCTTAGGCTTGATTTCTATTGGAACTGCAGTATTTGGTAGCTGATTGTTTATTTTACCGAAAACGTCTTCATCTAAGCAAACAGACACTTCCCTTGAGTGGAAACTTGATGAACCTGTTCCCATTCACCTACTATTCCTAAAAATTGTTGATTGTTAGTGTGAAGAATATGGGTAGAATAATAAAATATTTACTTAAGTTTGATAATGTACTCACTTAAATATGTTTTTATACAGTGGATATGTTTAAAATTGGTTTAAAGACATACTTATTCAATTTGTCACAATATGATTTGGAGAAGCTCTATTCTTATATTATATTAATTACTAAACTAGATTATGTTTTATTTCAGTTTTGAGAGCTAAAGCTGGTAGTTTGTTTTTCTCAGTGTTAAATTTTAATATTTTCTCTTCTAAATGATCCCTAGAACATATCCTTCATTTCCATGAAGACCCCCCCTGCCCCCTTAAAAGGGAATTGTTCAATTGAAGTACTGTTTTCTGGACATGAATAGTTCCTGCTATGAAGCAGCATTCCGGAAGCTCCGGAATCCTTAGCTATTAATATCACATTAATTCTGAATTCTAACGAGGATTGAATAACGAATAAATAAATAAAGTCAAATTTTATGCAGCAATATACTGATCCACACCATAATTATATGATGAACATTTTAAAGGTGCTGTAAACGAGAGACAAATCTAATCTGGGCACTATCTGTAGTATATTCTATGGAATATGGATGGATAATCACAGGGTGTCCAAAAAAGGTAACCAAGTTTATATCAGCCTCCAACTCAATCCCACAGTGAAGATCATGTGAAAATTTGTTTCTCTAAGCTTGAATTAATACCTTATTTTATTGAATATCTCGTGAATAGTGTAATGAGTAATTCATTGGTGATTGGGGTGATATGACAGAGTGATTGAGCACTCGACTCTGTCAGTGCACTCGCTTAGTCTGTTATTTAATCAAATCCAGCAGAGGTGCAGGCATGAAAAACATGATCCCAAATTAAACTCATGATTCAGTCAAGGTTTCAACAATAAGAGTTATATCGGAGTTACTGATCAACTTTCAAGATTTAAAGAAAAGCTTAGTGATAATTATTATATTCAATATTGAATGAACAAAATCATGCATTTCGCAAAGATCAACTTCGAAAAAAATTAAAAATATGAACTTTAGTTCATATTTTAAATTTTTTTCGATTATAATCCAATATTATATTTATATTATATTTCAAAATGACCACAACCCACTTCACACTTCGTTAATTTTGTTTCTCTTACTCCATCCAATCTAAAATATCTATGTTAGATAAAAACCAAAAAAATTCAGTATCAATTGTGAAAATGTGGCAGTATTTGATTCAGCGCTCGATTTTCATACAACGGTGTAAATTGGCGAAAATATGCGCGGCGCTCCGAAATTTTAGTTTTAATTTTTAAATGACAGTTGTATAAACACATTTAATTTGGACTTTGTTGCAAAGAAATTGCTCATGAAAAGTCATCCAAAATAGAGTGCGCGCAAAATTCCAAATTTGAAAACTTTTTTGATTTTGA